ATATATATATCCACACCTTACACATTATGTAAGGTGTGGACATTTACTATAAATTCTTTACTATAGATTCTAAATACACAATACACCAACCACAGCACTAAATGTCGTCACTATCACTGGATTAAAAACGAGCATTCAATCACAATCGCAGCGGATTTTCTGTAGTAACATTGTGATAAGAAACATGCCTATCCAGGTGCTAACACTGTAATACTACAGAAAAAACAACTTCAGGACCCCAAATAAACTGCATCGGAACACCTTTTGATACAAAACTTACTGCAAGGAACGTTTAATGATATCAGCGCAAAACCACGTCGTGAAATCTGAATGCTTCCACATGTGTAAAAACCATACGCTCACGCCCTCGTCGCAAACATATCCAAAATAAATATAGAAAACAATAATGAGCAGCTGTAAAAGAACGTGTGCAAAATCCACGTGGTGTTGACGCCTAACCATTTTAACATTTTAACTATGCCTAACTACAGACGCACAACTAAGGAAGTTCCTAACTGCCAGCTGACTGATCCGGTTAGGCTGCAAGTTTTCAAGCAGGTGGAGCGGCTGCGTGTACTACAGCTCATGATACTTTACAATTTGTTAGAGCTGCGTTTTTACCCGTGTCCATTCAATAATATTGTTTATGCACAATACTTCAAAAATGTTGTTTTCAGTTTTTCATAAAGTCCGAACATACCCTGAGTGGCAGATCTTCCATAGGTGCACATTTTTACATTGTCTTTTATTGGGAACTGTGGTATATTTTATGCAAAAAAACAATATTGAAGACAACTTTACAATTAAACTGATTTTGACTATTGAACTGCCAAGGAACTGCAAGGATACTCTGCATAATTATACTATGGAACAGAATATATGCACATATAAAGTTTTATCTTAGTCTTGTTTTTCTCTTTTTTTTTTTCAGGTGTCATGTGGCCTGAGGACATTCAGACATTAAAGTCGTGGGATGGAAGTTGAACTAACTGGAAACTTTAAATAGTCAAAAGAGAAGTAGCATGTTAGACTTTTTGGAAGTGATGGTTGACACAGCTTGAACCAACACCAGTTAGTTACAGCTTGCAACCAAGGAAGCAGAACTTTTTTTTTATACAGGAGAGAGAGATCAGTAATAGAGCAACCACACTGGACTTCATCATGAGGAAAAGGAACCAGTTTGAAGGACAAGTGAAAGAAAGAAAGGATAGAGGCTGAAGAGAATATTATTAGATCGGGCATATATTGTTTGTGTTCAGCTGAAATAAGCAATAATCAAGATGTTTGTGAACTTCCGTCGAATCCACAAGTGCCAGTGTTTGCAACTGCTGACCACAGGTCTTCTGCTTTGTATGGTGATGGTTTACTGGGAAGAGCTGGACCATCATGCAGTCAGCCACGTGAGATCCTTCACCCACCGGTACTTGTTCAACAGCTATGATTTTCTCAATTCTTCTTTTGCTATCAACTCCAATCATCATTACAGAAAGGGTGGTTCTAACAGGGTATTTGGTGGATTTGTGAACTATTCATACCTCATCAACCACCCAGAGAAATGCAAAGGGGAAAATGGGAAGAGTTTAAATGATGTTTTTCTGCTGTTATTTGTAAAATCATCACCAGAGAACTTTGAGCGGCGCCGAGCCATCAGGGACACATGGGGAAACGAGAGCTTTGTTTGGGCAGAACTGGGGGTGAATATGAGGTTGGTGTTCGCCATTGGCATTCATCCATATGTCGAACAGAGATATAAGGTCCAGACTGTACTGCTGAAGGAGGACAAGGTCTATGGAGATCTGATCCAGCAGAACTTTGTAGACACATTTTATAACCTGACTACCAAACTGATCCAGCAGTTCCACTGGAGGCACATATATTGCCCTCAGGCACGCTTCGTCATGTCTGCGGATGATGACATCTTTGTCCATATGCGTAATTTGGTAAAGTATTTACAGGATATTCTCAGGAGTCAATCAGGAGCTAAAGACCTATGGGTGGGGCATGTCCACAGAGGATCACCTCCAGTTCGCTATAAATACAGTAAATACCACATTCCCTATGATCTGTATCCCTGGCCATCCTACCCAGACTACACTGCTGGAGCAGGGTATGTGGTTTCAGGGGATGTAGCTGCTAAAATTTACCAGGCGACTCTGCTGCTGAACTCCTCTATGTACATTGACGATGTCTTTATGGGAATCTGTGCCAAGACCATGGGGGTCTCTCCCCAGGAGCATGTTTACTTTTCAGGGGAGGGTAAGGCTCCTTACCACCCCTGCATTTATGACCACATGATCACATCACACGATCATATCTCTGACATGCGCTCACTGTGGCGGTCAGCAACAGAATCTAGAGAGAACAGCAGCACCAGGGGAATACTAGGTAACCTTTATTGCACAGCAGTGAGAGTGATGCTACTATGTCTGCCACATTATCAGAACACTTACTCCTGTAGTGCTGCTTTTACATGAATACTCGTTGTGGGTCTCAAACACTGTTATAAACAATGTTACCTAACAGCACTAGTCTGACACATATCACCTTTGCCGTTGTGTGCTGTCTTGTAATGAAATGAAGATCTATTAAGAAATTAAATTCATTCAAAATTCATGTCCAGATGCATCAGGCTTCACTGATGTGCAGCTTCCCTTTGCGTTCCCTTAATTTTTTTTATGTTACTTTCCGCAGAAGTTTACTAAAGCACTTATCAACGAAATAACTTTTCCCTTTGTCTTCTCCATAAATTAGCGGTAGCAAGCATCAAAATTGTTGACTTAAGTAGCCTTGGATTATTCTTCTGTGTTGGGGCAATTGATAGTTTTGCCTTTTAATTATTTATAGATAAGACAAGGGTATCAGGATAACTCTGAAATTTAAACCCAGACATATTAACGATGCAGCTGCCAAGTGAGAGGATAACTGGACCAACTTGATTTTTGTTGGAAAACACTGTTTTTTGTGATGCTGTGATTATTACTTTGATGCATATGTATAATAATTAACTGTCATAGAGCCAATCAAGTGTGTCACACATTAGGGCCTGCCAGATTATGCTAAATTATGACGAACTTGTGTAATTCTGCTGTAGCCTGCATTTTCAGTGTAGCCACGTCAGGACTTCTGCTAATTTATATTTTTGCCTTCTTAACTGCATTCCTTCTTTCACTCTTAATAACTTCATTGCACTCACCTGACTTCCTGTATATTGTTAAACTGTGTATTCTATAAATAAGCTCCAGTGAAACTGTAATGTCTAAAGATTAAGTTACTTTAATTTATTGATCACTCTGTTTAGGTTAGTCAGCTAGACCCGTGAAGCTTTTCATGTGTAACTGTCAGAAGCCAAAACAAATAACCAACCCATAATGTAGTTGGACAGATTTATGAGCAAGGCTTTGACTTTTGAATAGCAATTACCTCATTTTCTTTCTGATTTTGTTTTGGATTTACAAGTGTGATTACAACAATTCACCTGTTGAAATACTTACTTCTGGTTCAATCTGCAGGTTTCACAATATCTCGAAATCTGCAGATTGCATAGTTTTACGGTGTCTGAAAACTGTTCAGACACCTTTAGATAGTTGAGCAACACCTAAGCAAATCATCGATCCAACCATTTTTTAAGCTCTTATACAATTTATAGTTGCTTTATTTATTCCAGCTGTCATTACCCTAATCTATCACAGGGTTACCAAAGCAAAACATTTACCCACAATCTCACAATGCCTTTTTTGTATGTGGAGTAAGTCTATTTGATTACATGCACACTGAAAAATGAAGCTAAGATGGTACGTAAGTAATGTGACGTCTAAGTGTCCACTCCAAGCAGTAGTATTTGACACCTCAGGAGTGAGATTGAAAAAGTCTGCAGTAAACCTGTCTCTGATATACTGACCCCAAACTGACTTGTCTGTGCCAAGTACATTATTCCAAAATGCCTAGCCTTTACCTGTGCACTCAATGCCAAACCTTTCACATTAATTTTGGGCAACAAAGGGTGTTTTAGTTTAAGTTATTTCTGGTTGAAATTACACATTGATGGTTCTAATCCCAGCCGAAAAATCTCATTATAATTTCATGGATTTCATAGTGTGATAAAAGGAGAGACTGCATTCTTTTCTATAATACTGTTTGATCTTTTTTTAAATTCTGAAATTGAATGCTGTTGTAATTTTTGTGTGATATTTCTTTGAATGTATCAACTTTGTTAATAGAATTTTTGCTTAAATAAAAAAAAAAACCAATAGTTCGGAATCAGTTTCACATAGGATCCACTTATTATTTTACTTGTAATAATGTATCTACTCATAAGGCTAGCATAAGTGAGGTGGTAAGAAATTAAATAAAATCCAACACCAACAAAACTTCATTGTGGACCTTTTACATCCCATTACCTGCTCTTTCTTATTTGAAATGTGTTTGTCTTGCTGTATCAAAGTTTAAGTTTACTTATCTATTGCCTGAAGAAGGAAAGTTTAAGGTACATATTAGTTAACCACATAGGAACAATTATGGTCACATCAGTTAGGGTTAGTACCACTAGTTTGTTTACAAGTAAATCAATGTTTCAAGAGGTCAAGACACATATTGGATTGAGAAATGACATTTTTAAAGATTGAAAGGATATGTGGATATATATTGTTTGTTAAGTATTATGAGGACTTATCTGGGTGTTAACTGTTTTTCTACCATGTCAGAAATACTTGCACTATCCTTGGGAAGAGTACAGTACACTGCATAAAATTATGCCATAAAATAAACTGCAGCTGTAAAAGATGTGCTTTTGTTATAATCGCAGGAATACGACATTATCCCCCCTTACCTGCGTCTGTTGGATAGACTTTCCTCAGTCTCATTTGTCACAACAACATGTGTGGAGCCTCCTTGGCTTTCTTCATGCATGACCTCAATCTGTAACACACAAATATATGCACAAGTGGCTTTAAATGAATCAGTTCTTTTCTTTTTATAGCACTGTGTTTTACAAGAAACAATCTCCAAATACCTTCCAATATCAGAGAGAAAATCTCACTGAGCTTACATACCCTTATGAGCATCAGTGTCGAGGAAAACTCCTTTTAACAGTAAAATATCTTTGCTATAGGAAGGATCAGATATCTGCCAACATTATACAAAAACAGCATTCGTGTCTGGCGTATGATTGATTTTAATTTTTCAGAAGAATATCTACCAGCATTATTGTTTTTTTTTTCTTCTGAAAAAAAAAAACGGTTTCAAAGAGGGATGAGTGTTTGACCAAGTATGCTGAAAACTCCACGACTTCATTAAACTGACTGTGTGACATGTAACATGACCAGAAGAGTTTGTGCTCTTTTGGCATCAGGCCTCCAGGAAGCTTGAGTCACAAAATAAATTATACGAGTGCACAGTCAACCACCAAATTGGCATACACTTTTGGACTGAGTATTAAAATGTGTGACCAGTCAACCCCTCTGCCCTCTACTGGTGGGAATAAAGAAGAAGATGAAGTAGATCCATTCACATCTCTCATGTTTTCTTTCACTCAAAATACTAAAAGTCATAAAAATAAATAAAAACTATGAAATAAAGGTGTTAATATAGACAATCCAGGGGCCTCTGTGAGGCAGCAGTACCGACTACTGAACAACTGTGCTTCCTATGTGCATCCATGAATAACTGGTAAGTTTCTGAAAGTAGAGCCTTTCATAGCCAATAAAAATAGTTTGGGTCCATCAGTTTTGTTGTGTTTGTTGTTACCACCACATTTCAGAGTGAAATGAAATGTAATTCAATGGAAAAGAGGTCAAAGACAGATGAACAGGACTTTAAATGTGTTACACTGTTTCAGTGAGATTTTAAAGTGTAGCCTAAGGACATTACCTTGATTCCTCCCTTTGCCTTCCTTATGTTCTTCTTCTTGTTGAGATCAGCTTCAGCCTGCTGTTTGTTAGAATTATCGGAAGCTCTGCGAGCAAGAGCTGAAACAAGATGACAGCACGCTGGTAACTTTGATCCTTTCTTTCTTCAAAGTTTGTGTGTTTTCTTGTTTGTAGTCTTTGCATTACTTCAGATTAATCTAACTGTTGTAGAGTCTTGCAAAAGCTTACAGTTAAGACAAAAACCAAAAGAACATATCTTCATTTAAATTAGCTGAAAACACAAAGATCAAATTACGCTGTTGGCCTCCTGCAGTCCTGGGGGTGTTCTTCACTGAGGGCCGTTTGGGGGAGGATTCAGGCCGTGGAGCAACAGGCTGGATGGGCCTTGTCTGTTTAGCTGACAGTCTCTTCAGACTGAGATGCCGCTTTTCAAACATCTCCTGAACATCTTCCAGTCTCTTTAGCGCCTTCAGTACACTACCCTGCAAGTAAAAAGCTATACATCTACCTTTGTCCTCATCATTTTTGCAACAGAACATCTTTCAAAGTATTATGTTTGTGGACTGTACCTTGATATCCTCTGACAAGACAACCTCATACTGATTGTGCAGGTTCCTCAGTTCAGTCAGTTGGTTCTTTTCTGCTGACTCCAGAAAATGTTCGATGTCTGTCAGTGCTGACTCTGCCCCTTCCTGTGACTGACACTTATCCACAGCCTGGGATGCCAGCAAGTAGATCCCAGACTCACACCATTGGTTAACCTGCACACAACATCTAATGACGTCAGCAAATAGCCAAGAATTCAGTTTTAGAAAACATAATCATCCCTTCACATATGGTGTCACAGTGTAAGAGTCCTGTATTTGGGTAGTAGGAGGAAAATACTGCAAGTAAAATCCCAGTTGGGTCTGTAGAAACTTGTTATGCAGGTAATAAAATCCTCGATTGTTGAGTTATGTCAAGTTGTCAGTCTTCTAATATCTTTAATATCTTTATCTTTAAAAAGATTATTTGGTCAAACTGATGGTGAGTGCTCTTG